GGCGAAAAAGGCGCAGGTCCGCAACTGTACGTAGGTCGGGGGGTAGGTCATTCCAGAGGGCAGGAGCTGCCACAGAGAAGGCTCTCCCCCTGGGGGTCGCCAGCCGGCATTGTCTGGCCGACGGCACCCTAAGGAGGCCCTCTCTGTGGGAGCGGACTGGTCGAAGGGAGGTGTTTGGTAGGAGGCGGTCTTGCAAATAGGTCCTGACCTATCTCAAAACTTCCATTGAAGTTAAAGGGGAAAGGGCAGACAGTAAAGTGACAGAGAGATAAAGATATAGTTAGGCCCTTTCTTCAAAACAAGGGTAGCAGAAGTACCCTCCACCACTTTAATAATATAAATTTAAATGTTGTATGCAAAATGTTGTAAAAAAAATAGCTGAACATCCCAAGAGTAAGATTACAAAAAAGAAAAAAAACAGAAAAAAAACACATTAGACCAAAACTGGAATATAGATTTTGACGCTACATTACTTTGATACAAGAGGTGAGAATTTCCTGAGAGAACACTGGAACAATTTGCTGGAACAGTGGTGGATTTCAATTTGTTGGAGTTTTCAGTGCAGGTTAAATGTTCAGTTGTTGGGAGTGATTTACTGGATTCCTACACTGAGCAGCAGATTAGACTAGATGCCCTATAAAATTCTTTTCAACTCACACTTTTTGCCATTCTGCTCAGTGCTGTTATTGCCTATACTGTAAATGGAAAAGCCAAACTTCGTAGATAGTATAAACTTTGCTTTGATAGATTGTTCTGCACACATATTTTTTTATTAAAAATGTGCAGAAATGAAATTGTTAATTTATTAACACAACATCCAATTAGATAAATTAAATGTTTGAAATACTATGTAAACCCTCAACCAATAAGGTTAAACAATTAAAATTAACTTTTGTGACAGCATCAAAATTATTAATTTGCAATTGCATCAAGAATTCAATTTTTAGTCCATGTCATTTGAAAATTACCGTAGAATTTTTATTTTTTTTATTTTTAAAAATTGCCAAAATGTGCAGATGTTATGAATGCTACAAACAACTTTACATGAAATATAATCGTGCCTCAATTACATATTTTAAATTATGCATTATTTATTTTGACTGATGACCATTATTCGACTCAGGCAAACACTCAAGGTAGAAAATCTAAATATAGAATATTAAAAGTTAAAAATACATGGTAAACCACATTCCAAAATCACCTAATACTTAAAAGATTGGCAACTTTTAACAATTTTAGACAGAATAGCAGTCTAGTTGCTGTATTTTGCATCAGATGTAACATCCTGATGTTTTTCAGGGGTATCCCATGTAAACCATATTGTAGTGGTTAAGGTGGGCTATTACAGAGTTATAAATCTGAAGATTAGCAGAAAAGAATCCAAAATAATAGGACAAGCAGTTGCCAATTTTACATCCTTGTAGCCTGTTTCAGTTCTGGAAATCACATAATTCACTGATAATCCCAGTTCCCTCCATTTCTAACATCCTGGTGATAGAGATACAGCCTTCAACACTTCCATGCATCACAAATACTTAGAAACCACAGCAGACCTCTACAACCACTCAATATCGCTATAATACACAAACCGCTTAAAGCCCTACTGTAGCTGGGTATTGAAAAATCTGCAAGAAAACAAGTTCAGAAAGCATCAAGAAACTCCATAGTTCAGCTCTGAGCTAAGCATAGCTTCTATTGGAATGTAGGAAATTATCCTAACATGATCACATTAACCTCCTGCCCTCCAGTCCTGGTCTGCTTTCCATCAAGTACAGTAAACTGGTAGTTAAGCTGAGAGAAACGAATCCCCAGTTCCTTTTTAACCAGGTCTCTATAATACTTGCCATATCAACATTTGTATTCAGGGTTAAATCTTTGATAATATATGTTGCATCAGCAACTGCTCTCATGTTAAGAGCAGAACTTTTCAGATTGCAAGGATCCCTGTCATCATGATTTTTGTGTTTAAACTGTAGTATGACAAGGAAGAACAGCCATTAACCTTACCTTCCTTCCTTCCAATCACTAGACTGATGTCTCCCTTTATGTTTCCTGATTTGTTTATTCTTTCTTGAGATTGTCCATGTTAATTAGTACCCATAGTTTCCAGTGACTCTGGAAAGGTTTATCTGACTTTTTCAGATAGTTAGATAAAGTAAATTTTCTTTCTTTCTTTCTTTCTTTCTTTCTTTCTTTCTTTCTTTCTTTCTTTCTTTCTTTCTTTCTTTCTTTCTTTCTTTCTTTCTTTCCTTCCTTCCTTCCTTCCTTCCTTCCTTCCTTCCTTCTTTTCTCTCTCTCTCTCTCTCTCTCCCTCCCTCCCTCCCTCCCTCCATCCTTTCTTTCTTTCTTTCTTTCTTTCTTTCTTTCTTTCTTTCTTTCTTTCTTTCTTTCTTTCTTTCTTTCTTTCTTTCTTTCTTTCTTTCTTTCTTTCTTTCTCTGCTGCCTATCTCATGCAGACATATCTCTGGGCGGTGTACAAACATTAGAACTAATAAAAAATAAAATAAAACAAAAATAACAATAATAAATAAATAACCATTAAAAGATAGGGAGGAGGCGAACACAAAGGGAGAGGGAGGGTCTTTTGTAATCCAGTAGCCACCTCCAGAATGATGCATCTCCGTTGGGACCCCAGGCCAATTGGCAGAGCCAGATCTTTAGTCCCTTATGGAAGGTCAAAAGGGTGGGTGTGGCTCTCATCTTGGCGAGGGGCACGATGTTCCAAAGGGCAGGAACCAAGGCAGAAAAGGCTCTTCTCTGGGACCCCATCAGCTGAAATTCCTTGAATTCCTTCCACAGCATGCCTCTTCAACTGGCGTTTAATGCTTATTCCCAGACCACTTTTTCCCCCCTTGTCTCCCCCCCACTTTTTTTTATGTTTCCTAACTTCAAGCTACAATAACTAGCAGCCCAGGTTTAGCCTTCTTCCAGAACCTACATGCACATGAAAATGAAATGTTGAAATCTCAAATATCTCCCAAAAGGAGCACTTCCATTTTCAGTTGTCCCTTTAGTGGTAACGTTGCCAGGACAGTGATTTTATTGATCTCCGGACCTAGGAAGCTGATGGACAAATGTCATCTGTTGGAAGCAGAGTCAAAGACTTAATTCTGTGAGGGGGAAGTTATTTCTCATATTTGGAAGCAGACAAACAGCCAGATGGTGCAACATAGTCTTTACTTCATTATATTGTTTTGTCATCCTAGACCAGGGGTAGTCAACCTTGGCTCTTTTATGACTCGTGGACTTCAACTCCCAGAATTCCTGAGCCAGCTTAGCTGGCTCAGGAATTCTGGGAATTGAAGTCCACGAGTCATAAAAGAGCCAAGGTTGACTACCCCTGTCCTAGACATTGGGCTTGTCAACTGGAAGGTTGGCAGTTCAAGATCCAAGCATTGTGCGGGGGGGGGGGGGGGGGGCAAGCTCACGTTCTTGCCCCAGAATTCTCAGTAATACTCACTTATTTAACCCTGATTATATTTTTAGGTTTAATCCGACAGATAAATTCCAGATTCTTAACCTTCACTGAATTAAAAGATGGCAATGCAGTGCATTAAAAGATGTTATTTATTTTAAGGGGTTGACTTTCAAATGAAGAGACTCATTGTTGATGGAGAACCTACCGTGCTACAGCTTTGGGATACTGCTGGTCAAGAGAGGTTAGTTAAATTTATCTGATTTTGTTTGAGATAAAAATAAAAGTTTTGTATTTGAAAATTATGTTTGGATGCTGTCCTCTACGTTAGCGATATTAGAATCTTTATAACAATGTCAGGAAGTCTAGTACATTTTGGAGAATGCCAGGTTAAGGAAAATTGCCCTAGAATGCCTTAGAAAATGCCCTAAAATTGAACAATATGTAGATACTTTGAATTTCAGCTTCCACTAGCTCCAGACAATGGTAAGAAAGTNGAAAATTATGTTTGGATGCTGTCCTCTACGTTAGCGATATTAGAATCTTTATAACAATGTCAGGAAGTCTAGTACATTTTGGAGAATGCCAGGTTAAGGAAAATTGCCCTAGAATGCCTTAGAAAATGCCCTAAAATTGAACAATATGTAGATACTTTGAATTTCAGCTTCCACTAGCTCCAGACAATGGTAAGAAAGTTTACTCTGGAGCAATTACAGGACACCTGGTATTTACACCTGGTCTTGAATAGTAGTGGCCCATTGGACTCTTAAAGCACTGGCTCTTTAAAGTTCAAACTAATCCTAAATTGCCACTAGATTACTGGCACCAATTTAAAGGGTATGTAATGCAGACTTTGCCATCTTAATTTCTTTCCTGCCCTCCTTATGGATCAGATGTTTGACTTTAATCTGCTGAACTTAACCTGCTCCACAGACCAAGGGGGGAAAATGTGGAATAGAAGAACTACAGCAAATTTTAACTTTTTTTTTAAAAAGGTTCCGAAGTATTGCTAAATCTTACTTTAGAAGAGCAGACGGAGTCCTACTACTGTACGACGTTACCTGTGAAAAAAGCTTTCTTAACGTACGAGAATGGGTGGATATGATAGCGGTAAGGTTGTTTTGAATCTTACAAAACCTTTTAAGGGAGCCTGTGTTTTAAATGTTATTAACGGTTGAGATGATTCAGATTCAGTGTATTGCAGTACAGGTAGTCCTCAACTTACAACGGTTGATTTAACGACCGTTCAAAGTTCCAACTGCACTGAAAAAAGTGACTAATGACCGTTTTTCACACTTACAACCGTTGCGGCATCTCCATGGTCAAGTGATCAAAATTCAGATGTTTGGTAATTGATTCATCTTTAGGATGGTTGCAGTGTCCCAAGGTCGTATGATCACATTTTTGCGACTTTCTGACAAACTCTATGAGGAAGCCAGATTCACTTAGCAACCGTGTCACTAACTTAACAACCGCAGTGATTTGCTTAATAACTGTGGCAAGAAAGGTTGTAAAATGGAGCATAATTCACTTAACAAATGTTTCGCTTAGCAACGGAAACTTTGGGCTCAATTGTGGTCGTAAGCCGAGGACTACCTGTACTAAATATGAGGTCAGCTCCATCCCTATTTGTTTTCTGGAAGTCCCTCAAGACCTAGCTATGTTCATCAGGCCTAGGGACTGGTGAGATCCTAAGGTGGCTCCCTTGCTGATCTAATTTCTTGTGTGTTTTTATGCTTAAAAAAAAAACATTTAATATGATGGTTTTGACATGCTTATTGTTTTTGGTGGTTTTTTGCTATACGCTGCCTAGAGTCACTTCTTGGGAGATGTGAGAAATTTAACAAATACTGTAAATATACATTAAAACATATGATACAGCAGGGGTCCTCAACCTTGGCAACTGTAAGACTTGTGGACTTCAATTCCCAGAATTCCTCAGCTAGCAAAGCTGCCTGAGGTATTCTGGGAGTTACCAAGGTTGAGGACCCCTGTGATACAGTATTCCAACAGTTTTTTCTTATTTAAGTTAATCAAAAGCAGGGTAAATTTCTAATAATAATAAAAAGTGTTTTGATGCATTAGACTATTAAAATCTGTATTTCGGATTTAACATCAGAAGCCCCCAGCTTTAAAGTTCTACTCATTGTAGGATGCCACACATGAAAATATCCCAATCATGATGGTGGGAAACAAATCAGATCTTCGTGAGACGGCTTCTGAAGAAGGACTAACATGTGTACCTCTCAACTATGGAGAAAAGTTGGCTATGGTAAGAATGACGGGTTCCAATAGCTTTCAAAAATAAAAAAAAGACAATATTGAAAGTAGAATCATATATTGAAATAAAAGCTTGAATCGTTAGAAGTTGAATCCTTGAGGTTCAGACAATGTATAAGAACGTGATTTTAAAAAAAATTGCTATTGATATTATAGTTCAGTGGGTGTTAGCAAACATTTGGAAAGCAACAGCTGTTAAATGCAATATTTCATCCTGTGGTATTTCCAGAAATTTTGGACATCACCTTCTACAATTTTCAGCTTCCATAGTAACTGGAAATGATGAAAGCTGATGTCGAGAACATTTGGAAGGTATCATATTGAATAAAAGCAATTATTTTATTTTCAGCTTTGTCTTTTAATCGTTTTTTGAATTGAATTTCCGTGAATGTAATTAATATGCTTTTGATTTTTTTTTTTTTAACCTTTTAGGCTTACAGTGCACTATTCTGTGAAACAAGTGCTAAAGACGGCTCTAATATTGTTGAGGCAGTGCTTCATCTTGCTCGGTATGTTCAGAGGCCATAAAAAGTCATGTTTGTTCAGTGCTACACATTTTTTAAAATGTACATTTAGTGTCCTGTGTAAACTGGAATAGGTGGAATGAATAGCTTGGTATGTATACAGTTGTGTTTTTTCTCCTTAGTTTCAAGACCAATTCCAGCTTTTCAGGGGCTATCAAAGGCTGCCCTTGGTGAATGTCACTGCATCAACTACCTTCTCACTGGCACTAAGTATCTTGTTCCCTTTCCTCATTCAGGAGAAAGGTCTCTGCTCTCTTCCTTCAGGTTTAATTTAGAAGGATCAGATAAGACTATCAGGAGCTGTTCCCTTGCACAATTAACTTCATGAAGTAAAAGTGGTTTAGTGGATCACTGCTGTTAGTGAATCCAATTAGGTATGAGGAAAGCTGTAGCTCAAGAACATTATTTCCTGGGGCTAAGTATATAAGACAGGGGTCTTCAAACTTGGCCCTTTTATGACTAGTGGACTTCAACTCCCAGAATTCCTCAGCCAGCATGCCTGGCTGAGGAATTCTGGGAGTTGAAGTCCACAAGTCATAAAAGGGCCAAGTTTGAAGACCCCTGATATAAGAGTTGGTAGCATTGAGACCAGGCAAGGCATCCACTCCAATGACTACTGGTAAGTCCACAAGTCTTAAAGTGGCCAAGTTTGAGGACCCCTGATCTAGATACTGCAGAGAATAGCTACCTTCTCACAATCATGGCATATTGTTGCTAGTACTAATTTATTACTCAAATCACAGTTCATAGGCAACCTTCCTTTCACAGTTCCCATTTATTTTAATGCACTCTATAGATGATAATTTGGATTTTCTCTGTGAGTTGTGTCCAGAGAGGGGGAAAATATGCTAAAATGGGATGTATCATAATGACCCAAGATTGAAGCTTATTATGTAAACACCTCTTCTTTACAGTATGTCTTGTATTATGTTTGCCATTAAAGTAAGCACTGTAAATAGCATTAATTCACATGACATATTTTATTTATTCATGTTCAGTGTACACGGTGAAAGCAAACTGTATCAATACACAACATTCATGAACCTTTACTGTTATTCAGCAAATGCTCACAATAAAGCAGGATAATTTTCCTTTGAAAATGCTTTATCTGATCAAACAAACTATTGTTTTTCAGAGAAGTGCGAAAAAGAAGCGATAACAAAGATGATGATAAAACAGTCACTAAGCTGGCTGGGACAACACTAAAAAAGTCTTCGTTCACCAAAAACTGCTGCAGTGTTTGAGAAGTAACTCCTTGGCCTCAAAGAAACAGACTTCTGTGGCAATGGAAGAGGAAAAAATGAAAAGCATAGGTTGTTCCAGATGATCAGCAGAAGGAAAAATGGAACTAATTTTTCAGCTACCAGGCCCATAAGAGTCTTTAAGCAAAATTGAGATATGTTGCTTATTGAATGAACCAAGCCAAAAAGTATAAAATTCTTATTTGGTCAGAGGAATCACTCACTTCTTTATTTATGCAGTTAAGATAATTCCAACTCAAATCAGCTGTGCCTTCATAAGCCAATCTGCTTGGATGAAACGATTCCCCCTCCAAAATCTTACTGTTTATATAAATAAATATTAGCTTTTTTTAAAAAAAAATGGGGGTATATAGCCCATTCTCTGCCTTGCATTGTGAAGACATTTGTGATTCTTCGTCATTAATCATAAAACTTGTGCAGTGCTTGTTTTGAAGGATTTTCTGAAGCATTCAACTTTCCCATACTGTGCAGCTTTTGAGATCCTAGAAAAAGCAGTGATGACTTGGGAATTGAACCTGAATTGGGAGAAAAATACAACTATCTAGAACTATCTAGAAAAAAATGTACCCCTTCAGAACGCTGCTGCTGGCATTATATAGGATCTCTGAGTGGAATGTATAAAACACAGATGGCATCTTTATCTGTCAAGTGCCTTCCTGGAATTTGGGGACTATAACTGGATGCTCTTTTGAAATATAAGAAGTTGAAATCCCAGCAATTCTGAAGAATGCAGACTTTATTGTGATTGTGCCTTGGCGATAAGCAGAAGTGAGACATTACCTTCCCTTCTCCCCAGAAATAGGAAGCTGCTCTTTGAAACTGTTTGCTACCGTTTTTTGTACTTTGATGTCAAGAAGAAGGACCAACATTTGTGAAACTTGATCAAAAGGCTTATTCTTGCTCTGGGTCTGAATTGAACATGAAAGCAACAAGGCCTCACTGAAGAAAAGACTTGAAAGCAAATTCTCTATATAAATAATACTCAAAACCAGAAAGGATCCCAGTCCTCAACCAGAAGAGATAGTGGCCTTTGTAAAATGAAAAAGGCATTTTGGTCTTCCCCCAAGGCAGAGGTGTCCAAACTTGGCAATTTTAAGACTTGTGGATATCAATTCCCAGAATTCCCCATCCAGCATGGCTAGCTGGGGAATTCTATAAATTGAAGTCCTCGGCTCTTAAAAGTTGCCAAGGTTGGACACCCTACTCCAAGATATTGCTTTGCAACAGGGGAAACCAATACAAAGGCTGTCTGAACTTCTTTGCAAAAAAGTGTCCTCCATGCTTGGAAACCGAGAAGAGCATCTACATGGACTACATGAAATGTATAACTTGTAGCGTGTACACTTTAATATGTTATTGTAATGATAAGCCTTGATGCTGTCAAAATCCCAACTTTCTTGGGAATCTGTTAAAGATCAGGAAATGCAAAAGTTTGTCATTCTGTTGTTGGAATAAGAGACACTTTTATATGATTTTAAAGATTCATGTTTTTCTCCTTGATATACTGTATACAACTAAACTATTTTTCTAAATGCATAGATTTTATTTTGCTGTACTGTGTTAAGCTTTCTCATTTTTAAGGAAGTTTCCATAGTTGAAACAATAGTTAGCTGATCACATTTGTCAATTTCTGTCCAAATTAGGAAAGGAATTCAAATTCTGCAGGTCTTAAAAATTATTGATTTCTCACAAGGCTGTGAGAAGAGAAACCTATTTCTCTCTACTCTGATCTGGTGTCAGAAATTTGTTTACAGCTGGATTCTCCATGCATTTTTTACAACTAGGCTGAAAGCTCTAAATTGTCTTACTGGCCCACTTCACACCATTTAGATAAATAAATTGAAAAAAATAAATTGTTTAATACTCTGTCTCTAACTGTACTGGACTGATTCAGATATATTATGTATTAGCCTTGGGCTCATGTTTACTATCCTTATTCCTAGCAATCTATGATAGAGTATTTGATCTTGAAGGACATGCGAGGCTAATTATTTTATTATTAGACTACACGCCAGGATCACAAGCCACAATTTTGATCCTCAGTTTCTTTAAAGATTCAAACTAACTAGAATTCCATTGAGTTTTTGAACCCAGTGGAAGTCTGGTTATTTGAAAGCTGAAATAGTTATAATACAAGTAGTTGAGATTGTAGTAACTTCTGAAGCAGATGCCCACCAGACTGTCTTATAACTCCTGTTAACCCTATTTAGCTTTACTGTTCTGTAGGAATTGGGGAAGTTCTAGAATGAGAATATCTGGAAGTATCTATGTTCAAATCTCTCTCATAATGTTAAACTGTACATGAAGATTGTGTCCCAGTAAAATGGTTTTGTCATACAGAACGGGGAAGCTTACAACACTACAGTCTTTTTAATAGCGAGGATGTTTTGATATAACAGTAGAAGACAACATATAGAATTAAGAGGAGTTTAGAAATGAACATTTTTGATATTAAGCCAACCCCAAAGCACAATTGTGCAAGTGAGTCACAAATGTTTTGCAGATTCCTTATTTTTTTATATTTGTGCTTCTCCTATAATGATTGAAGCCTCTTTTATAGGTGTCAGTTTTCACTATTCTCTTAATTATTTTGAAATTTTAAAGATGTTTTTTCGAAGTACCTGTAGTTAAATTCAGAAATCCTTGCTTGGGATGCAAATAAGTCAGTGTAAGATGGTTTTTAAAAAATAAAGTTTAGTTCATAGGAATTATAAACCAATTACCAAGTACGTGTTAATTGCCTTGCTGAATGACATGCATGTACAAACCTAGATTTTAATATAGTAACAAGGCACTTAGCACTTGAAACAAAAGAAGTATTGGCTTTATTAGTCCACCAAGACTATATTGTTTAAATCAGCAGAGTTACACTTTCTATAATTTGGGTTTCTCTTGAAGGATGAATTCTAAATCAGCAATATTTTGTGGATGTGGGGCTCCAATGCCAAGAGACATTAGAGACTTATCTTTTCAGGGAGAGCTCCATTCATGCTACAAGATCTAGTCACAGAGATTTTTTTTGAAACAGATTAAAATATAACCAGGCTTCTAGAGTCACAGGAAGTAATACAGTTTCTGCATTGAGAAAAATCACAGTATGAAAGTCCTGACTGAACTGCGCTCAGCCAACTTCTGAAAAGAATTGTTGAATATTTACCTTGTACTCTTAACTTCCAAAGTAAATGTTTATATTTATTTAGTTGTTACATTATTTGCATTTATTTATTTATTTTCACAGGAAACTAGACTTGTTTCTTTGGTAAATTCTGTATATATGATATATTTTTCATGCAATTAGTGATCACAAATTGTTTTGTCCTTACTGTCTCTGTTTATAGTACGTGCCATTTTAAAGGCAATATTTGTCCTCTGGAAGATTTAATCTGTTAAATGCTTTGATATGTATAACATGCTTTAAAAGGATGTGTGCCCCAAATGTGCTGCATCATATTTTCTTAGAAATAAAGTTATATAAGCCACAGGAAATCTGTGTTTATTGGAAATGTTAGTTTAAGCCTATTTTTTAAAAAATGCAGCTTTTAAAAAAAAAAAGAGATTAACCATATTGTAACTCCCAGAAGATGTATCGGGCTACAGCTAATTTCAAAAACTCAGTCTTAGGTGGGAAAGACTGAAACATGAATTCTGAAAAAGGACCCTTTTGTGAAAAGTCGCTAAACGAACTGTTGTAAGCCGAGGACTGTCTGTATTGTGAAATATGGTTTTTGAGGGGAAGGGAGAGGGTTAAGTAAGGGAAAGGTTTTGAGAAGCTCATCCTGAAGCTGATACCTTTGCAGGCAGGCAGTTGAGTTCTCCAAAGCCTAGCAAGAACTAGTTGGGAGACTGCAAACCAGCTGATCAGGGCAGAAAAGTTCTGAAAGCAGCCACTATTTACGCAAGGAATTGTTGGGAGTGCTGAAAATGGCGGCTGCTTCCAGGAGGCATGGGCGCCAGGCCCGAGCACTGCAGGGTCCCATTGGGGTGGGATGGGGGTGGAAAGAGAGAAGGGATGCTGCAGCAACATCCCTGTGGTCATAAGGGCGAATGACTGCAAGGGTACTGAAGCTCCTGACTGGCCTAAGAGTGGTAAACTATTTCTCCACCTTTGTTGTGTTCTCTGATTAATGATTGGCAGCCCATTTAAAAGTAGTTTTTCATTTGGGGGAAAGGACAGGCCATAAAAATCATCTGTTGGGCTGCCATGAAGAGTTAGTGGTGACTTTGCAGGATAAAAATACTTAGATACTTTCAAATTGGATGCAACCTAGGAGGGACCAGCTGAAGTGAGTAAGGACCAGCTTAGTCTATTGTATTTATTTGGGGAGAGTTTGAGTCTGTTGGTTCTGAGGACGTGGACAGAGTTCTTCATGACTGTCCTCTGTCTTCTGGGTGTTAGATTGTTGATCCTCTAGTTCAGGCATGTCAAACTCCCGGCCCAAGGGCTGGATGCATCATGCCGAAACCGCGCCCACCCCATTGCCGGCAATGGGGAAAAAGTCAAGATACGTCGCGCAGTGTCACGTGACATCGCGAGTTTGACATACCTGCTCTAGTTGGTGAAAGCCTCTACTAATGTGATTGGAGCCTGTGTTAGAGCAGTGGTGAATGTATTGTTGATATGGGGGTAGTGCATTCAGGTAGTAGCCAGGAATGAAGAATGACCTTAATCTTTCCCACCCACCACCCACCCCCACAACCCCTTTAGTTATGATGATGAAGTGGTTATTGCTTAAAGTTGGATATAGTTAAAGAGGCTCACAAGCCTACGTAATACAGGCCTAAATCAATTATTCGAGCTTGACAGATCTGAGTCTGGGAAATAATTTTCCAGATCCAGTGAATATGAATTCTTCAATTTCAGCTTTAATACTGTCTCCTCCCTACACTTATCATGTTCAATTCTATCCTACTATTACATCATTAAAAAGAATACCAACCTCAGATATAATTAATAAATACTTCATCTCCAATAAAGCCATAGTCCAGTCTGGCACATTTCTTTCATAAAATAAGCAGTAATTCAAAAAGCCACAG